TCCTGGCGAGAGAGGGGAAGTCAGCGCTCACAGAATGGGGGTGGGGGGTTGTTGTCCCCTGCAGAAGGGCGGAGGGAATGGGGGGCTTTGCTCAAAGCAAGATTACGTAGGGTGACGTGGTTCCTATAAAGGCAGCAGCCGGCATCCAGCCAAGGGGAACAGGTGCGCTCGCTGGAGGATGGAAGCCCGGGCGGCTGGGGAGGGGCAGAGACATGGGCTGGGTCCTCGGGGACAGCGTGGTGCAGAGAAGCCCCTCTGGGCACAAGGAACTCTTGCCTGCTGCTGGGGGGAGCCTACACTTATGGCACAATCACTTCGGCAAACAACCGGGTGCTAATTTTACCAAAATCAAGAGTGTGAGATACAGCGATTCCTCTCCTAGGTACTCACACGTGGGTGCGCGTGCACACACACATACACACGCTCACACAAGTATTACATAGTGAGGGAGAAGTTTCGTGAACCCCTGCTTGCCCATGTTATGTGTGAAGCATGCTAGCACAGTAATTTTAAACATTCTGTTCTCTATCTCTATTCCATTCCATTGGTTTAAAAATAAATAAATAAAGGTGCTGGCCATCTCATGACTCCACAATGGCTGTGACTTGCAGTTTGTAAACGCTGCTCCCCCCAAATTTTTGTACCTGTGGCTTTGAGAAAAAGGCAAGAATGTTTAAATCAGAAGTGAAGATGGTAGCAAAAAAGCTAAAACAACCCAAATGCCCAGCCAGAGGAGGGTACTTAAACTGTGCTCTATTCACACAACGTAATGCTCTATAGCAGTGAAAACAAAACAAAACAAAACCCAAACGGACCTTGGTGACACACATCTACACGGATAAACAGATCTCAGGAACACAATGCCGACTAACAAATAAGCCAAGTGATGAAAAATATATATGATGTGAGGCCACTTATAAAAACAAGCAAACCTAGGCTTAAAAACATGCACGTGGAAAAACCACAGAGAAAGGCAGGGGATGAACCCCAGGGGGCACCAGGGACACTGGATGGCGGAGCCCGGGTTCCTGAATGGCCGTGTGGAGCAGAATCTCACACCCCAACTCGCAGCAGATGGCACTGGGCTCTGACATCACCTACAAGGAAAGCTTTGTGGCATGAAGCCAGTGGCACTTCAGGGTCTGTAAGAGCAGCCAGCTCACCCTAATTGCTTATATATGAGCACACAAATGTACCTGTGACTGAAATCACCTCATTTCCACAATCCAATCTGTGGTTTTAAACAGCTGCTCTAAGACCCAGGAACCCTCTGCCTCAGGCCTTTGCTCATGCACTTCTCGGTGTGGGGCGGCCCCCATGCTCTCATCTGGTCCCTGAGCTCTCGACCCGGATGCCTTCCCTGATGAGGCCAGGCCCTCCTGTGCTCCCCCGTCACGGTATCCGATCTTGCCCTCCGTGGCTCTTGTCCCATGTGTGGTCGACCTCGGTCTCCCCTGCTGGACTGAGAGCTCCGAGACTGCAGATCGCTCCACCTCCTGTGCTGGCCCACAGCACGTGCTCCGTGGAAACGTGTGGATGGAACCACCACCCGCGATGGGCCAGACCCTGCGGCATCACCAGCCTCATAGCTCCCCAAGTGAGTTCCATGGGCCTCGGGCTTCACCTCCCTGAATCTTGTTGTCATGACAACCCAGCGAGACCCTCATTTTACCGGACAAGGATACGAAGTGTAGAGAGCCTGAGTCCCTGTGAGTAGACGGGTACCCCCATGCTACGGACGAAAACGAGGCCCAGAATGAGCTGGAAGGTGGAGGCACCAGCACTCCGTTCCAGGTCAACTGACTCCAGAGCCCAAGCTCTTTTCCCAGTGAGCGGATGCCTGGACCAGGACCTGTGGTCAGAGGCTGAAGGTGACACTGACCAGACGATGATAAGGGCAGTGGACACCCATCTCAGCAGCCCCGACCACGTGCCGGGCACCCGCTCATCAGCCCTACAACAACCCTGCAAGGTGGGTACGGCTATCCCCCTTTTCCAGGCAAGGAAACTGAGGCACAGAAGGCAATGCAACCTGCTCAGATCCTGGGATGCCCTCTCTCTGCACCCTCAGCCCCCTCACAGCATTGACCTGAGCACCTAAGCTCTTAATCAAACACCAGAGAGGCCAACCTGCATTTCGGGGGAGCGGTTC